CCAATCAAAATGACTCAAAATTTAACTTCACTTGAACGTGTCAACTCTTCCCCAAATCAGACTTCTGGAGTCCAGGTACCCTTCCTGCTTTGGACTTTTGGAAGCATTGTTGTCAAAATCTAGATTTAAATCTTAAAATAAATTTTACGATTTTAGCAAGATATTTCGTGTAAAATCTATACTAAAATCTGAAATTCATAAAATCTAGGGATTTCACGGTAAAATCTAGATTTTACCATGAAATCAGATAAAATCTCGATTTTACCTTTTGTTTGGCAGCTAGATTTTTTGTCTATTTCCTCTTGAGCTTCTCATCTTAGGTTAGTAAGTTTTGACTAAATAACCCATAAATTAAATTCATTTTTTCATTTTAAAAGCCCACAATCCACACAACCCAACCACAAATCAACATTTTAATCTAGAATTCGGGACAAATTTGATTTAACCATCTAAAATTCTAAATTTAAGTCATCTTCTTCGTTTAATTTATTTGTGTTGTTGGATATTTAGATTTTAATCAGTTAATTTCAAGTTTCTAACTCTAAATTTGATTTATTATTATTTAATTTTGATTTTATATAATTTATTATATATTATATATTAAAATTTGCAAAATCTCAATTTTATCGATTCAATTTTACGATTCTGATTTTACCTAACCAAAACGATTTTAGGTAAAATCTCGATTTTGACAACCTTGCTTGGAAGTGTCTTCCGGATTGCCGCACATTCCGTAGAAAAGGGAATGGCCAAAAACCACCAGCCATTGCCAGGTTGGTCGTGTCCTGCACATTCCTGAGAATATGCTGCAACCAAACAGGTCCTAAAGGGTAAAACCTTCTGACATTATGACAGAAAGATACAAGATTTAATTTTTATGTACACAGAAACCATGAATGGTGCAGAATTTGACTGGGTTAGGGAGATTGGTCCCTCGTTATTTCGACTTTGATATAATAGAAAAGGCTTATGGACCACATCCTAATGCATGTTGTGGGCGGAAAAAAAGGCTGGTCCAGCAATGGATGTAACCTTAAGCGTATGATATTTTCAAAAACAATGAACCAGCTTCCATGTTGGACCTAGCAATAGACTAAAAGCGAGGTATATGATTAAGGTGAACCTCAAGGGAAAAGGAGAATAAAGAAGGATGAAGGATTAGAAACTATAAGTAGTTTTAATTATCTGCAGCGATGTGTCCCAAGAATAAATCAGCATTATGGTCAATAGAGGAAACATCAAAAGTACGATGATACAAATCAGGGGTTGCCGACAGCATAGCCTTTACGAGAGATATATCAATAAATTACTCTAACAAATCAAAATTCCCACCAAAGAAATACTCGGGAAATGTCAATCTACTCCTGTGAGATCAGAAGACTTATCTATCTTGACAAGAGATGGCTTGTAAGCTTGCCAGACCTGTAAAAATATCACTTCAATACATGCTCTCCACTGGGAAAATACAATGTTTTCCCACCCACAATCAAAGATCCTACAATGTTTCCCACTCACAATTGAAGATCCTACAATGTTTCTTCTCCACACCTCCGTCGTGCGTTAGATTTTGTTGGATAAAGGTATAGCTCCACCAATACCACAGCACACTACATCCGTTAAATATCCAACAGCAGTCCTGTTAGTGAAAGCTCCATCTGCAATTATGACCTTTGCAAGTGAGTATGAACTCAGCCACTCTCTCTTTTGCAGTTACCAGGCAAGAGATATTTGTATTTCTCAGCATTATTCAACAAATATGCAGGGAGATGAACTGCTGAGTAAGAACGAGGGATTGGCCCCAACTTCCCAATGATCTCCTTGAAGGTGTATTCCTCAGGAAGCATGTCAAAAAGGTTAGCCCCTCTGCAGATCACATCTTGAATCCTTTGACGGTTGAGGTAGTGAGGGAACCTCACCCGATCAGTATGGCTGTAAGCTTTCATCTTGAATATGAAGTCACTAATATGGCGAAAACAAAAGCTACAATGCCACCCTGCATCTGACAATAGAACATCACCTTGGCGATAATGAGCATATCTAGTCTTGCCTGACTTGTATCTGTGGACAGAGGCTCTCCAGCTCTTGTTATCTCTATGATACTCAAAAGAGTACAAGAAATTCCTCAGCTGAAGATGAAGGACAGGAGGGATTTCATCACACCACCTCAAGAGATTAATTGTGTGGGCACTAGGGATCTCATCAACGTCAGACATTATCAACAAATCATCATCTTCTATGCCAGCTATCCTGAGAAGTTGGTCTAGAGCAATCCTCTGATATGCCTCTTCTACAAATGGGTTTTCACCTTTCTTGAATCTCCCACCAATCATCCCATAGGTCAAACGAGGCTCAACAAATTTAAATTGGTGCCGATTGCTAGCAAAATTCAAAGATTTCCGTAGGCCAGTAAATGTTGAGTTTGACTCGAGGAGCACAAACTGTGTTACATAGGGGTACAATTCATTCCATCGAATTGTGAGGATATCAACCTCGTTGCTGAACAACACTGCATCAAAGACTCGTCTCGGGAATTCCCGAATTTTCCACCCATGAAGGCTGCAAAGAGTCTCCATTGACACATTTTCATGATAATAGTGGGGGATTTCATGAAAAGACTTTGGAGGAGATTCCCACAGTGGTCTTAGGAAATAAGTGATTTTCTGTCCATGCAAATACAGCCCAAAGATGCCTAATGGTAAAACCACGAGCATAACAATATAAGTCTTCAGATCAAACCCCCGCAAAATGCACCGCAATCTAGACATGGTCAATGCTGCACGTGTTGCCTGCTGGATATTAAAAACAAAACCGTTCTAAGTCACCAGAATTCCCAATTCACTCTTGAATTAATATAAAGATGTTACAATTTACATCATATGCCCACATACATCCAGTATTCCTGATCTAAAACATTTTCTAAAAAGACAAACACAAATTTCATATGCCCCAAACACAAGTTTCAACTTGTTGAACAAAAATTCTTGGTCATAGGATTTTACACCCCTGCCAATTATCACTTTTGTAATTGAAGAAAATTCTATCCAAAAATACGGTAAATACCCCAATTACATAACTGAAAATCCCTTGTCCAAAGCCAAAAACCATATTCTCTATATATCCTTCTGTAGGACATCAATTTTCACTTCAAAAAGAACAATAATAACAATAAACAGAGAAAAACAGACCATCAATCCAACAACTGCAATCCATACACAAAAGGCCAGAACCATTAAATTTTCAGATTCCTTCAGCACTTCAATTACTTCAGGAAACACAAAACCAAAAATTTAAGTATAAAAATTGAAAAACAGCAGTCAGAAAGAAGCAAAATTTTTTAAAAAAAATTGGAAAAGCTTTGTACTTTTCAACAATTCAGATAACAAACTAAAATTTTTTAGGGTTCAAAGGAGCATAAAAATCCCAGTTCAACCTCTGTCTAGATAGAATTAAGGCATACATTATCAAGAATAAAGAATCCCACTCTCCATCTGAAGGAAACCCAAACCAAAACCACTCATCATTCAGAACTCAAAACCAGACCCAGAAAGAAGAAGAA